GAGTATTTAGAATTTGTTTATTTCTATTATATTTGAAAATGTGCCTTATGGTGTCATATTTTTAAAAATGGGTAAAAAGAGAGAGAGAAATAATTTTTAAGGTTATATTTTTAAAAATAAAACAAATCAAATACCCTCAGGATACCTTTAGCTTCAAGCAATAGATCTCAAATTAGTAAAGGAAATTTTACCTAAGAATTCTGTCATCTCCAGACCTGTTGATTGGAGTTTCTGCATCTCTTCTGTGGCTCCTGGCTCTTTCTCCTCTGTATCTAGGCTTCATCAGCAGCCAGGTTTCAAGATGGTTGTAGGATTTCCTGTCATCACATCATCATACTCAGTAACATGCAGAAGGTGACATCTTTCCTAGTAACCCCTTGAACACTTGCCACCTCTCTTCTTATTGTTCAATACTGGTACATGGATTCATCAACTTCTGCCAATGGAATTGGGGAAGGAAACCAACTGTACAAGTTATGTGTGGAATATGGTGATAATGAGAAGAAATAGGATTGAAAATGTATATAAGGGAGTGCATACAGTAAACCCTGGATATTTTTCATTATTTATATCATATTTGGAATTTTAGTATTTATTTGATATTTTTTAAGCCCTGCTTTCAAATCATTCCTCAAATCACATTTTATTTCTTCTGTTCTCAACACTGAATAAAGCTGGTGATTTTCCTCAATCTCATTTTGCACAATCCTAGAGAATAAACTATGCAAATATATGTCAATGTTATGTTAAAATTAGATTTGTCTTTGATAATAGGATTCGTGTTACATGATCTCATACTCTGTTAGGTCTAAATTAGGAACCTAATAAAAAATATAACTGAAAAGATCAGATTCAGTTTAGTCACCTATATAGATTCCACCAGAAACAATATTGACAGGTTGCAAATGATCAGGAATGTTTTAGTATAAATCCACATTTAAAAAGTTATTGGTTTCTGGAGTTTTAATTCCATGTAATCTAAATCTAACATAGTAATGTCTTAAAAATTTGACAAAACTCAATTTACTATGTAACCAAAAACTACTGTAAAATTATATATAAAGGATAAAAGAAGAGTGTCTTCTGGTAGTGCAATGAACATTTCTTGAGAAATTCAAGTTATACACCTACAAAGTAGCCCCAACGTGTAAAATTCTATACAAACAACTATACTAAATTCTGAGTTACAAATGCACTTGGATTTGTTAAGGTCAAATTATTTTGAAAATTTCCTCAGAGGATATAATTTATTGTGGAAAAAAATACGGGCATGTGTTATCTCAGAGTTCAGAGTGCTCTTTAACTAAATAAAAGTTCTTTTAAGGGAATGAGATTAATCCATCGAACAGGATAAGTAATTTCTAGTATAGAAGAGAAATGCTTAACTCCTAAGAGGTATTGGCATTGTAGACAATAATATTATATCAGATTTTGTTCACCTATTTATGTTATTCCACTTAGACATTACAGAAGTTCCCATTGTGAAGTCCCAGAAAGTTCTAACAGCACATTTGAATTCTAAAAATAATGTCACCAAAATGGTGGAGAATACTATTGAATGTATGTTATATATAGTGAATATGGTTCACTTTTTGTTGTTTCAATTTTTTTTTTTTTAATCAGCATTCCCAGTGGGATTTTCTTGTTTTGGGAAGCCATATCTGACAGTCTGTAATGTATTACAATTTTGATTTTCGTTCCATTTCATCTTTGCATACCAGCCAGTGGCATGCCAAAGCACCATAGATATCCGACATATTGCCGATGTGAATTCCCTGAAGTTAAAGTAAGTGTTTATATTAGTAATTCCAGCAAATCTTTGTTGAACAAATGTCTCA